TGTCCCCATGGTGCAGACATGGAAACCGAGCTTCAAAAATAGTTCCAGGGGAAAGCATGTGCTTTTTGTTTAATTTTTAATTTTATTTTAATGGTGAGAGGAAGGAAGACAGGTGCTCTTCTGCGCCCAAGTCCGGAGGAGAGAGGGAAGATGGGATTTGGAAGGAGGTGCAAGCCCTGTGGGCTGCAGAGGGTGGCTGCACCTGAGAAGGGCTGGGTGTGAAGCGCCCAGGAGCCAACGCAGGGCTCGGAGGAGGCCCAGCCCAGCCCAGCCCAGGCGCGCATCCCGAGTGCGCCCCGCCCCGTCTGCGCGCGGAGCCTGACTCCGCCCAGAGCGCGACTCTCACTTGCAGGACCTTTCTTGGTGGGTAAGACTGGGTGCCCTCTCCGCGGAGGGGCTCCCGGCGCTGTGGGCTCCCGGTCCAGGGGCGTCCTGATGCCAGGAAGGATGGAAGGTGGTGAGGGGCACGGGATCTGCGCGAGGAGACCTTGGGCGCAAAGTCCCACTTCCCAGCTAGTGTTCCCACTTAGTTCTTGTCTTTGTCTAAGGCTCTTTCCAAGCCTCAGTTTCCCCATCTGTAGAGCCGGAGTAAATAGCGTCCTCCCAGCAGAGTTGGGATGGGAATTAAACGAGGTGCCGCGCGCTCCGCGGAGCATTCGGGCAAGCGGGCGCCCTCGCCCTGAGGGCAGGACGCCGCGGCCGCATCGCCGGCAAAGTCACGCTACTCGCCAGCTGGGGGCTCAACGCCCCTTCCTGCCGCCGCCTTTCTCCCCGAAGCTGGCTTGGGGCGAGGAGCGAGAGGCCCTGCACCGGCGCCTCCCGCGCGGGCACTGGGGTTGCTCGGCCCTCCGCCCGGTCCAACACCCAGAGGTGCCCGCGCTCCCGGAGCTGGGCGGGGCGCAGCCCACGTGACCCAGCGGGCAGCACCCGGACCTCCCCGCTGCCCGCCAGGCCCAGGCAGTCCAGAGCTCCCGCCCTGTGCCTTGCGCCCTGCTGCCCCCCGTGCGCCCCGACCAGACAGACGCCCAGGTTCGTCCAAAGCAGGGCCCACAGGGCCAGGAAAAAAACGGTGAGTGCGGGGAGAAGAAGGCAGGGTTGGGCACCAGTGCCCAGGGCTGGTGGCCCAGGTTCCGGGAGGGTCCGCGGAGAAGTGTGCAGCTATAATGGTGTGGAAACGCCCCCAGAGATCCCCTGGCCTTGCTCCAGGCTGGTGAGGAAATCCTGCCCAGCCCCAGAACCCAAAACCTCACCCAGATACTCTGATCAGCAGGCCATTTTGAGGAAAACTGTGCTTTTAATTAGAAACCCTATTGGGGGTGAGGGGGGCGGACTGAGCTGGGGCTGGGACCTCAGAGGATTCACACTGGCCTGGACGCCCAGGGGCCCAAGGCTGCTTGGGTAAATACTTCCTCCTGGGCTGCTGCCCTGCAGATCATGGGGTCAGGGCCCTGGGGGTGTCCTGGCAGGGAGGATGCGCCATGACCTCCAGAAGCCCCGGGTTTATCCGAATCCTCTTTCGTTTGCTGCCAGGCTCCATCCCGGTCCACCCACCCTGTTGTAGAGATAGGGGGAGAGTCTGTGAGCGATGCCCTCCTTATAAATCCCCAAAGATTTCATAGGTTCAGACCTTAACCAAATTTAAAAACCCACTTCCTTTTCAGTTGGATTGGGGCCTTTAGACCTTTTTTGTCTTTTTTGTGTTTAATCTTATATACATATTTCTTTCTCAGAGGTTGAAGTGATAATGGAGGGAGGAGGGCCCCCAGTAGCCCACTAGCCGCAAAGGCTGACCCTGCCCATGGAGGTGAAATCCAGGGAGAGAGCCAGAGCCTGCAGTCCATGGGAGCTGAGCCGAGACATTGGCCCGCAGGCGAGGACAGTGCCAGTCACCCAGAGGAGCAGGCAGGGATCTTACTGATTAAGGCATTAGTGATGGAAAATTCCCAGCAGCTGAGTGGGTCTGGTGGGCGATTGGGGGTTAAAGTAGGCTGGTGGGAAAGGTGGCTCTGGTGGCCCTGGATGAGAATGCAGTGGCTGCTCCTGTGGTTGGGTCAGCCTTCTAGGTCTGACTATCTCATTCTTTTAGAAGCAGCCTCTGGAGCAAGAGCTCTCCCCTTCCTCCCTCCTCTTACCCGCCACCCCCTCCACCCTCTTCTATTCTAACATCCGGGCATCATACAGGGCTGGAGAGGGCCAGAGCGGTACGGGAGCCCGACCGTTGTCCATGGTACAGATGGGAAAGCTGAGACCCAGGAACTTGTCCCAGGTCACAGGGCCAGCTGGTGCCTGAACTGGGATGGGAAGCCAGCTCCTGACTCTCAGCCCCCACATCGTCCTGCAGCCTCAGCCTGGGACCCATCCTTGCTGAGGACACTGGAGCTAAGGCCTTCGCTACAAATGCTGGACCTGTTGTCCGTGTATAAATGAGGGACCTGGGAGGGCAGAGGGAGTGGGCAGGCTGCAGAGTGCCCACCCAGTGTCAGTGCTGGAGTGACTTCAGAGCCTCTTCTTGTACTCCAGGTATGCCAGTGACCTGCAGGGGGGAGGGACTTCCCCTGGGAATGTGCTCATTTTGCAGCTGATGAGGGCTGGGGGATTGGGTCCTACCAATGGGCGGCAGGCCCAGCTCTGGGGGCAGCATTTGGGCAACAGCCAGAAAGGTGAACGCAGAGACCGCACAACTGGCACCTGTGCGTTCCTTCAGGCGTGTGCCTGCACCTTTATCAGCAAGAACAGCACCTAACACCTGGATTCTGAGTC